GTGTGTGTGTGTGTGTGTGTGTGTGTGTGTGTGTGTGTGTGTGTGTGTGTGTGTGTGTGTGTGTAAAAGAATCAACTGAAAAGTTTTGAGTCTCAATGAAGATGACATTACTCATCAAAACCATTCTGGTATTAGGATCATACATATTTTGAAAAATACCTGTGAAAATTGTACTCATTTTAGACGCTCATTGACAGTCATTTTTTATCAGTCGATGTCAGTATTTTTGTAAAAATGAAAAAAATCGAATATCGTGTCATGATTAAATTTTTGCATTTAAAAGGCAATACGCCTGCGCAAATTAAAGCGAGTTGGATCTGTTTACGGGAATTCTGTCCAGTCCAGGATCATTTGCCACCATGAAAAGATGGGCAGTTTAATTTAAATATGGTACCAGCTTAACTAATTAGCGTTTAAGACGACCAACAACTGCGATTACTATCGATAACATTGAAAAAATTCATCAAATCGTACTGAACGATTGTTGAATCAAAGTTAGAGAGATAGTAGAGATTGTGGACATATCGAAAAAACGTACTTGTCATATATTGACTGAAGAATTAGACATGCGTAAGCTAATCGCGCATTGAGTGTCGCGCTTGCTCACTGTGGACCAAAAACCCATTCGAATATTTCCAAGGCCTTGGAGTGGTTTAAGCGAAATAAGTCTGATTTTTTACATCGATTAATAATTGTTGATAAAACTTGAATCGGCTACTTCGTTCTTGAGACGAAGGAAAAGTCAAAACAGTGGACTGCGAAGAATGCTCTGAAAAAAACGAAGACGGTTTCATCGGCCGGGAAGGTGATGGCGACTATTTTTTGGTCATGGAATTGTGTTCATCGACTATTTTGAAAAAAGTAAAACAATAACGGGAATGTACTACGCATCATTAATTGACAAGTTGAAGGCAGAAATTGCGAAAAAACAGCCGCAGAGAGAAAAAGAGAAGAAGAAAATACTGTTCCATCAAGATGATGCACCGTTTCACATTTTGACGGTCATCATGGCAAAAATTCGAATTGTGATCAAATTGATTGACGTATTTACCAGATCTGATCCCCAGTGACTTTTTCCTGTTTCCTAGGCTCAAAGTTTGACTCGGAGGACAGAGATTTTTATCGAATGAGCAGGTCATTGCATCCGTAAAAAACTATTTTGCAGAGCAAGACACCAACTATTATTTGAATGAGTTAAAGAGATGGAAGCATCGCTGGGAAAAGTATATTAATTTAAAAGGAGACTATGTTGAAAAATAAAACTGAATTTGATCGAAA